TACCGCATTTGTAAGGCGCCACTTCCTTGCCCCAGGTGTAGGACAGGATGTCAAAGCTCGTCACATGGTGAGCGACAGGGTCAACAACGGAGAAGATCCCGTTGTCGTTGCAAAGAAGCCTGATAGGGAGCTCGGTTGACATGGTCAAGGTTTAATGACATGGAAAACGAGTGGCAAAGGACAGAGAATCTGAAGAACAAGATATCGTGAGGGGAATGGAAAATTTCTACTTCTCTCTCCATGTTCACACTTTTTTAACAGCACTTCCTACCTTTTAACTTCGTTATCTTCTGGCACTTGACTTTGGCCCCTGTCGATTTCACTTCAGCCGTTCTAGGGTGAGCGCGAAGGTGATGCATTCAATTGGCTTGTGTACTGCTAATTTCCACTTTCTGGCTTGGCATGCCTATCATTTCTTTTTTTGCTTGTCTACCGCTATTTACTAACGTTTCAAGAGGCCAAAGACCAATCATTATCGAGACAGAATCAGAGCTGAATGTTATCAGTGTATTTACAGGACTGGGATGGATGAAAGTGTGAAAGGTCAGTATTATCGTTTATCCGATCCCGTGGATCCATCACGCGTTTAGTCTATCTAGATCTGCTTCTTCAATCAACACACGATTCACGTTTTAACAAAAAGAGCTAGAACTTAGCTATAAGCATGTTTTCAAGTTTAGTACTAGGCCTTATTGTTAATAGTCTTTTTTTAATTGGACTAACGAAGGGTTTAAGCTTTTTATATCCACGAACACCATAAGCCCCAGTTATCCTAATCTATCTTGTTAGTGGGTAGGTAGCAATATGCTCAGAGATACCCTCAAATTTATGCTCTTTTAGCTAAAGAGGTCTCTTACTATCGGAAAGCAGTTCTTATTCTTTTTTAAATCTGCCTGTCAGTCAGATAAAGCCATTGTTAGCGTCACAGTTGTATCTTAATCCCTCTCCTGGGTCCATATCCTTCTGCTCCACGGGGCGCAATGACGTAGCATTAAATCCTTCTGATCCTTCGACAGGCTAGCCCAGGACTAAAACAAACTACCGTTCCTCAAACTGGGGATGATCTACAAAAGTATGGGGAATAAGCTTATGGGTTATAAGTTTTTCCAGATTAACTAGCCCATGAATTGACTAAATTGGAGGACCGAACGAGATCATAGCCTCACTCCAGCACAGCTAGATCCACTAAGGCTGTGCGACAACACCAGCCAAGAGCCACGATACGTCATTTTATGCCTCTATAATGATGATCATTTCAGGCAACAATTTTCAGTCCTGTTAGACAAGAGAGAGATCATCAGAATATTTCATCTATATGCCGCCAGACCAAGTCTTGGCAAACTCATAGCAGATATATAAGGGCATTGATGTCAGCTCGACTTCCACTATCGTCAGCAGCTCACAAGCCTCAACTTACTACACCACTATACTTATTACCCGTACCCAACTATTTCTTCCTCGCAATGCATTCTATTTTTCGCATCGCTAGCTTGATGGCCTTGATTTGCTACGCTCAAGCAGATTTCGCAGTCGGCACTTCCGCATCTCAAAGTATACATTCATTTTCTCTTTTGCTGCCCTCTTTGTTTCTAACATCAACTTAGTGGGAATTGGAGAGATTGTTCCTGATACTGGAGGTGACATCTACAACACTGACGCTGTTGCTGTATCATACCCGGGCGGCTGTCTCGATAACGTCCAGCAATTCGAGGTATATTCAGACCCCAAGATACTTAAAATCTCACTATATTAATGCTTCTCGAGTGTGTTTCCGAGAGGTGCCTCATCGAAGGATTCTTTGAAATCCGAGGGCTGAAGACCGAGGATCAATACGGCTTTAACTGGAATGGCGAAGGATGGGAATTCTCCCAGAACAGCGAGATCTTGGGCTTTTGCACTAAGAACGATGACGAAGGATGCACTAAGACGGGAGTAAACTACTCGCTAGGATTCTTTTCACACATGCTTTGCACCGGTTCTATCAACTCTGGGTTCTAAGAGGTACAATGATTTAATTACTTCAGCTTTACTGGACCTTAAGGCCTCTCTAAATCGAGTCATGTATCTCACCTCTCGTCACTACCATTGTATGTGCGAGTTGTGCTGCAGTTGTGCCGTGGCTTCTGGACCTGATGATAAGGGCAATGCTAGCCTTTGCATCTAACACTAATCAGAGTTTCGTCCTTTCGGAAGAGCCGGCTCATGGCAGTGGAGCTTGGAAGGCACTCATCTCTTTGGGTTATAATCTACAAGCACACCACTTCCTATCAATAAAATGTAATCTCCCTTACAGACTCTTGAAACAATAGCTCTCCCCGTAAAACGTTATCCGAGTACCCTTCCCTGGTCGAAAGACATCGGCTAACTGTCGCTAGACTCGGGAGAGCGGGCGGGTAACCTGGGTGGTCCGGGCGCTACTGTCGGTGCGTGTTAGCCATGACGTTTGATTCGTCAAGTAGCTAATCCTTGTTTCAGCTCATTTCTTGCGTGCCTTAGCTACCCAGACTAGGCAGGTCGTATGGAGACTCAGAAGCACGAGAAGAGGCAGAATGATTTGATTATGTGATAGGAATATCTCTCGGAATGCATAATGACTATGGATAAAGTGAATCAATTCGAATTAGATGCACAATGACTGGAATCTGGATTCCTGTAAGTAGTGTTGGCACGTTTACGCCTTTGCTCTCCAGTCCACGTACAATTACGGAGTACAGCTGGGGAGCGATAAATCATGGACCTGAAGCAGACACCTACCAAGAACAATCGCCGAAAAGGGTGCTGTACAGCACTTAGGCTGACAAGTAGCTAGGCATCCTGCGACGACACTAAGCAGGGATGTAAACATGTCAACCAACAGATGTAACCTTGTGGTACATAAATTCATGATAAGACCCCATTGACGGCTAATTTTGACTATTGATGCCCTCTCTCACTTTCTTTGGATGAACTCTACATCACTCACTGTATTAAACATGTCTTGGAAACGTTCCTCTTTGGCTGAGACTGGCTTCTTTTACGATGAAGACCTCCTAAGTGAAGACAGAAAAGGTGAAGACAGAACAGATGAAGACAAAAAACAGTTCCCGCCCCATGTTCTTAGGCTTGAGCAAGCGATGCTTGACTTTACATGCCAGGAGCTAGACCTGCCTAGTGGAAAAGATCTCAACATCCAACGCGAAGCTCAAAGACTTGCCAAGGGGGGGTTTTCAGAAGATCGTTGGGTAGATTTCTTTCGAAAATGCTTCTTCAATCCACTTCTGCACCATGCTTCTGTATCTAGGGGAAGATCTCGAATGTCAGTGTAGCTCAACGTTTAGGGTTCCTACTAATATCTTTCCTCTCAGATCTTCAAGATGCCAGTATTACTATGATTCTATTGTGTTGTAAGTATCTACAAACTCACGCATTAGTTAGGAATAGAAACTCACAACCATAATAGCGACACTGATTCTATATGGGGGGCATTCGACAAGAAGAACGAAACAATCAAAGTTTTCAAGGCTCCGAAGCCCGACCTCGTCTTTTACCTCCCAATGTATCATCTCGAAACCTGTACACCTACCATAACTGATTATGAGGCACATCAATGGCACAAATCATCAACTCCCTCCCTTGTCGAATCGTTCTCATGGTCAAATTTGAAGAACCTACATAAGTTTGGCTTACTAGCTACCCCCTTCAACGTTTTGGAAAAGGAAGCACCCCAAGAACAAGACTTGAGTTGTTTTCCATGGCTTATCGTCGAATACAAGAAGACCAAAAGCGCTCCTGGTGAGCTCGATCGACTGAAGGAAGTTGTTTACTGCCAAGCAGCAAATGCCAGTGGATGTGCTGTCAATCTGAACCAGAATGCAGCCAGATATTCTGCTAAGTTGGTGTATGACGGGCAAGTTCCCCCAGTTGCAAGCGTGACCACCGTTGGGCCCGAAGTTAAAGTCTGGATAACCTTCTTTGCAAGAGACTTCATGGCATATCGTTGGGACTTTAACGGTGAAAAGTATGAGAGACAGGAAAAGGGTTACGTAAGTATAAAATAAGACAGGGAAACAGAGCGACGGCGCTAATTACTCTGATTAGATGATGCAATGTATCTGGACAGGTGACATGACGGTACCTCAAGATATCCTTAAATTCCGGCTCATACTCGAAAATACATATACTTGGGCAAAGAGGGTGTTCAAGCCATTGATAGCCACATACGTTGATCAGTGGAAGTTTGCTTGCATTGACGACATTCCTAGCGCTGCTTATACGGAATCGAGGCGTCGGAGAGAGAGGCTGGAGCTCTCGAGATGTGCGCTGCGACTTACTCTAGCTTCTCGAGATGCTCAGCTAGGTCTCCAGCCTGGCTCTGACTCATATCGCTCGGTTACAAACGATCTTGTCGACCTCTGCGATCGATTTGTCCAAGACGTTGATCGATTGATCGCAGAGGAACTCAAGCGATCAAGTGAAGGTTCCAAAAGGGCATCATCCAGCAGCACTACGCGAAGAAGGGCACGGACGCCTAGCGAGCCGTCTCGGAAAGCTAGTCCCAAATCTAAAGATATGACTCCGATAAGTGTTCCGCGACGAAGTCCACGGTTGGAACCACGAAACAAACCACAGCCGTCTCTTGATATCACTGCTAGAGTGGACACAGTCTCTTTAGGTCTCAGAGTAGCTATGGCAGCTGAGGCACCCAAGAGACGGCAAAGCCAGAGTAAACTCCTCGCGCCGCCAATCGAGATTGAACTTGTACCAGACTCTTCATCTGGGGAATCAGTGGTCTCTAGCATAGTGGCTGACGAGGATATTTCAGTTGTAAACCTGACAGAGGAGGATATTTAGAGTGAAATTCAGGAGTAACTGCTAAGGAAGGCATGTATTTATTATATTGTTCTGGGTGGAAGTGTATTTATTGCTTGATCTTTACTTAGAGGAGGCTCATACTGTAGTGCAATATTAGAGTATTATTAAATAACCAAACTATAAAATTAATTTTTTTACAGTTAAATATTTTAAGAAATGATCTCTCCATAGGTCTCGTCTCCAACTATATTTACATTCTCTAATTTCATCAAACCCTTAGCAAATGCAGCCCACAAATCCTTCATCTTAGTGCCTAAACTTTCAAGTACAACTCTCGATTCCGGTCCGTGCAGCATGGGGGCTTTTGCCCAGTCCGTCCAGGTACCCAATAGGAAAGGGAGTTCTAAACAATGTGTAGATCGCAAGTCGCTTTGCGACGGCCACCAATCGAATCTGTATTTCCTTGAACTGCCCCCGGCCCTGAGGTAACGACTATGGAGTTGGACAATTCCCCATATGAACATTTTTCTTGAAACAATCCACACCATAAGTCGCTCGATAAGCCATCCAATAAGTGGCAAATCAAAATAAGATCGCAAGGTATCATTCATTCTTGCGAAGGGTGCGCCTTCATGTGTTGTGTAGCCGACGAATAGATTGATCTGTTTTGCTGCCAGCTGGACCTTGTGAGAAACCTCCGAAAGCGGTGGAAGAGGTGCATGACCCAGAGAAGGCCCAAAAGCCATTAATCCGGAAGGATGTTTCTTGGCCTCCATAAGTAGCTCTACCTGCAGAGAGAGCATCTCATCGCTGGTCCTGGGTGCCTCAGAAGATGCAAGTCGATGATGAGCCAAAGCGCCGAGGGATTGTATCATTTGTTCGCGATCCATCATTCTCACTCCTAGTGGAGCGCTTTGAAGGATTGCTTGATGGAATAGATGTCGAGTCCCTTCAGCTATCATGAGGCAGAAGATGGAATCCGCGCCAGCAGACTCTCCGAAAAGTGTAACGCGATTTGGATCTCCTCCAAAATCAGCAATGTTGCCCTGGATCCATTCTAGCGCCATGATTTGATCGTAGAGTCCGAGGTTTGCAGGGGCTCTATCATGGATGGGTAGGTATCCAAAGAGTCCAAGCCGATGCGTGATGTTGACCATGACGAGACCGCGTTGTGCGAGTCCGACGGGTGAATATGCATCAAGGTCTCCACCACCAGAGACATATGCTCCTCCGTGTAGGAACACCATTACAGGCCGCTTTTTTCCACCTGTGAGTGCCTCAACTGATGCAGTCACAGTAAGATGAAGGCAATCTTCGTCCTGCATCCTTCCTGAGGTAATCGGGCCTGTGACGCTGTCTAAACGCGAAGGCACCATCTGGGGACAGATAGACGCCGGATGTGTGCAATCCAAAACACCCTCCCAGGGTTGTGCAGGTTGAGGAAGCTCAAAACGATTCGCGGAGGCATATCGTATTCCACGAGCTTTGAAAATATCATTGTCGCGTGCAGCTTCAATTTCGCCGCCTTGGAGCTTTATCCTTATTTTCCCTGACTTATCCATATCTCCCTCACAATCTTATTAGCTTTATCATCAACCGACAAGGAGCAAAACCTACAAAGAAAGAGAAAGAACAGCTCTTCAAGACAGGCCCTAAAAACTTTTTTTATTCCTATCTGGAATATTTGTAATATGGTAACTGAGATCTAGGATGCAAGAAAGTTCTGTCATTCATTAGAACCCCGCGCCCTTTAAACTGATTCGAGGTCCGGATACCATGGAAGGAATTTGTTGAGCCATTTTTCATAGCGCAGATAAGAATTCAGCTGATCAAGCTTCGCAACTAGTGTTTTGCTCAATCGCGTACAGATAGCGGATAAGACCCAACTAGTTCCAGGCGGGTATGGGGAGCGGAAACGGGCCAAAGGCAGAAATAGCCCTGTTGATATAATCGGAAAAACCCACCAACAACTAAGTGGCTTGCGACTTGTGGGTAAATACTCGGGTTTAACCCACAGCCGCTCAAATCCTGGTTCGTAGGAATAAACCCACACAAGAAGCCGACTGTCTGATTTTGGGCGATGGAGATGGCATTTTGCAGACAATGTGGACTGATGGTGATCTCCCCACCATATGGAGCCTTGTTCTTTGTTGACATACTTAACCTGAATATTTTCCAAGTTTTGAAACAAGCTCTTTGAGTCTTTCACATCAAACCCTGAAGCCTGTAGAATCAACAACCAGGCACACCCTCAAATACATCATTTTACTGAAAGTTAAATCTTACTTTTTTTATTGTTTCAATCTTCTTCAACCGAAACACAAAATGCTCTATACTCGAACTCTCAATGGGGTTGAACTCTCCTTCGATGACCGAGGTCTTGTGTCAGATGAACCAGCAATCGTCTGTCTGCCAGGTCTTGGCCAGGACCACCGAGGCTATCAATACCTGCTGCCATACTTAACGGGCAAATATCGCGTTATCAGGATCGTGTGGAGGGGCCACGGAGTAAACCGTGACCCTGTAGGAAAATGGACTGTTGATGATCAGGCAGGCGATACTATTGCACTCCTGGACTCCCTTGAGGTTAAGACATTTATCCCAGTGTCTCACTCTCATGGGGGATGGTGTGCCATGGAGATTGCTGAGCGTCTTGGTAAGGAGCGGGTCCCAGCTGTATTGCTGACCGATCTGATCCTAACTCGTGCTCCGCCTGAATTTATTTCTCAACTTCAAATGACGCAGCAAAGGGACACTTGGTATCAGGCTCAGGCTGCTCTTATTAAGGGCTGGCTTGATAGCACTAAGAATCCTAGTGTTTTAAACCACTTCTATAATGATGTCGGCGCTCACGGCTTCGATAGCTGGTCCCATTTCTGCTGGCTTGTCGAGAAGAACTATGAGCGCTGGGGCTCGCCTATGGAACGGCTCGAGACGATTAGTAACCCCCCTCTGGTTCGCCATATCTTCAGTCACCCCAGAGAACAATCTTATTTGGAGGCACATGAAACTTTCGCTCGGAAGTATGATTGGTTCAGCTTTGCTCGGCTTAATGGGGAATCTCACTTCCCGGTCGTCGAGCTTCCAGAGACAGTAAGCTTGCACCTGGCAGACCTAGTCAAGGAGACAAAGGGCAAATGAGGGATATATTTAATGTTCACTAGGATAGCTGCTCAACACAAGACTCTTTATACCATGCATATCCGATCAGGGATCCCTTATACCAATACGCTGTAACGCATCCTAGCATTGTGAAGTTGAAGTAGTACAGCAGTTGAATTTTGAGTCAAGACTGGGCAGTTTAATCCCCTTCCTATTACCTTTGGCTTTATATTTTAATACACCTGCAGACAGAAGTAATCAACTAAATTGTTTCCCGTCGTGTTCTTGTATCAAGGAGTGCAACCAGTCCAAGGAGTCTAGATTTGAGTCCTCATGTCTTCGGCTGCCTGGTTTGACTTTTGAGAATAATCGTGCCAGCCAATACAAGCTTTCTCCAACTCTGGTAATAGCAAGCTCCTCCGGGCTAAAATGGGAGCCTTGAGAGAGATTCCGATTCCAATGGTGCTTCCATAGTCTGAGAGGCAGATCTAAAGAGTCAAGAGTGGATAACAATAGGTTGGTCTGGGATAGATATATCAACCGGTGAAGACCTGTTTCGATGGTCAGTAACAAAAGCAAACCAGTTCGAATATCACTGACGTAGTGGTCAGATACTCGGAAATGAATTGTAGAGACATACCCCAAATAACATAAAACAGGTCAGTCAAGTTGTACTTCTGCAGCAATTCTTCTGTCATGGCGTTATCGGCCCCTTCAACGAGCTCTGTGAAGCAAGATGAGAAATTGTGATTGAGTAGCCTTGAAGCAGTCTGGTCTGATAGTAGCCAATCTCCCCATGTTTTTGCACGAAAGGCCACCTCACTAGATGGGAAATCAAGTTGCATCTCTCTCAGAGTGATACTCGGCATTGTTCTAAAGAATATGGCAAGTTCACTATCAAGTAGGAAGATTGAAAAGGCCATTCTGCGGTTAGTTAATTATCGGCGTTGTTACTGCGATGAGTGACAGCCCCTCACCTTATTCTTTTCTCAGTCTTGATCCATTCATACCACATTTCAGCAAAAGTATTACCAGGGGTTTCATGTGTATCGAGTTTTAGGGTGCTGAAAAGTGACAGATTTCGACCTGCTGTAACTAGCATAGGAACGCGTATCAGCCGCATGCGGCTCCGTTTCGTTCTGTCGTTCATTCCAAGCTGGAGGTAGATTATAATGATAGCCGCATTGAGAAGGTCGAGATGCATTGAGCAATCATCCAAGCCGCAGGAATGATGCCCGTTGGTCAGTAGTTCGAATTCATTATTATTGAAAATGATGGATTCTAAGGTGTCGAAGCTTTTGTAGGTAAGTGAAGACATATCTTGAACAGTGTCGTATATGGAGCCAGCTACGACCATTGCCAAAAAGAGCCGAGGCGATATCTTTTCAACAGCAAAGGTCGGACGGTGTATTGCAAGGTTATATGGGTACATCCGTCGGAAGAATGCTTCGAGAGCGCGGTAAATGTTGCTGATGGTTAGTAATTTCTCGAATATTGGCCGGATCTGCGTAAGCGAACCCCCATTATGCCGATAAAGGTCATTATGATCATCCAAAGGAATTAGGTTCAATATTTCAGGAATTCGTTGCTTGAGTGAGCTTCGATTTATGTCCTCGAGGCTTGGGATGCCATTACCGTCCTCATCCAGTATGTCTATCATTGCGCCTGCGGGGAATATATCATTCCAGACTAACGGGCCATCCCAGGCGTTGCAGTCATCCTGAGAAAGAAACTTGCCGTTTCCGTTTTCAAGACCACAAGGAGGGCTGCCAGGGTCATGGGGAAGGATGGAACACGATTCCAGGGCATTCCGAAAATCGGTGATATTCTTGTTTTCACGGGCTGTGTATTGAAGAAGGAAGAGCGTGCTGTCACTTCTTGTGATCGACGGTTGGCTTGCAGTTGGCGGATCGTCCGAATCAATACCGTGGTCAGCTTCTTGCTCAATGGTCTCGCAGTTGACCTCAGGCAAAGGAATGGCAGGCAGAGAGCCAGAAGCACAGGCCACGCCGACTCGGTCGTAAGAACATTCCCAGCCGCGGCTTAGGCAGCTCTCGCATGGCTCATCTGTGTCGCAGGCGAGCTTGGACAAGGCACATCGATCACATGCCTTTCGACCCCTTCCACGTTTAATGCCTGCGGGTATTGGCCGACCAGCACGATTCCCGCACTTCTTGGCGTGACGAAGAACGGAGTCCCTATTGGTGAGTCGGGTATTAGAAACAGATTCCATACAAGCGGTTAGCTGAGCGGTGGAGCTTACGTTCTAGAAAACATGCGGCCGCAAAAGGTGCATGGGGCGGATTGTTCTTGGGTATCTTGGTAGAGAGAGGATTAATTTGAGATTGATACGAGGGGATGAATAAGCGGGCCACTGGTGACTTACGGGACTTCTCATGTCGAACCAGATGGCTCTTGGAGGAAAACATGCTCCCACAAGTACGGCACTCCTTGGATTGGCTCATGATGTCGGTCGGATGCCGGGTGGTCACACGAACGATGGTACCATTCAGGCAGGCAGGGATCCCAGTGGCTTATCTACCGGTAGCCATGAAATTGCAATTGGAACTCACAACAGCACAGTTGATTATGGAGATCCGATTCGGCAGTGGAAAGAGTATCGTGGGTTTGTCACGGGATGAACTGTCAACGCTGATGCCTCAGGAAGTTAGCACAAACCAGCTGGACCCCACGCACTAAACTAACCGCAGGATGGAGGAGCACGAGATAAGAACACTTTGTCCTTTCGGGCATGGTCACTTCCCCTGCAAATTCAGTTTAGTCGGGGAATACCCACAATCGCCACTGCAGAACTCTAAAGGTAGCTAAGAACTACGCGGGGTTAACCCGCACTAATCGTTAGCTAACTAAACAGTCTAAGTCTTGTCGGTCTCGTTTTCGGGCCTTGCCAAACAGAACCTGGAGAAGCAAGCGCATTCGTACAGTAAACTGGCAAAATGCTGGCTGTTCATACAGGATACTATGAAGTCTCGGTTTTTTAAGAAAAGAAGTATTGTATTTGTTTAAGATATTAAAAAAGTCAAGGCAATTAACAATACACCAAAAGCCATTAACAAACTAGACAACTGAGAGTAGTGATACCACATAACCCCAAGTTTGAGAAGCATTGATTCAGATACCATTAGATGGCTTCTCGCTGAGGTACACAGATGCATTTTGTCCCTTCCTCTGTTTGTCGCCAGTCCTCTCAGAATCGACCACGATATCTAATCTCCACAGCTCTAAGAGGGGTATAGATGATGACAGTGGTAAGGATAGCTAGCTCCCAGCCTAAATCTCCCGCAACCTCGGCAAGGGGGCCCGTAAGCCACACAGTGTCCATTCCACAGATAATTGGCCCCCAGGCAATAGCGAAGGTAACGATAGCTGGAATCCCTGAAGGGAGAGCTTTACCGTCGTCCCAGATGGCCGGGTCCACGGTGTCAGGGTTCGCTCTCCGAAACCAGAACCACTCAATGAGAAAGGTGGTTACCGTAATTCCAGACGAATAGGAGAGAATAGAGACGAGCGCAGAGAGGGATGAGATGAACGATTTTGAAGCAGGGATCGCTACCCCGATCAAGACTCCAGTTGTGACAAGTGCCAAGACAGCCCTGGGAACTCTTTCAAGCCATGGAACGACAGCCTGAATAGCCAAGGAGATGCTGTAAATATCCCTGGCTGTTGTTATGACAACCGTCAAGGCGAGGATAGTCAAGACAAATTTCCCAAACCCTCCTAATCGGGAGACCACAACTTGGCCAACAACAGCGCCAGTGCCTCCTTCGCCAAGGGCAGCAGCCCAAGCGGGAATCTGGAGCGCTGCACCTCCTAGAGCCGCACCCAGAATCATCATGAGCGAGAACATAACGCCAAAACCGGACAGGAAGTACAGAGCAAGCCGGAAGCGAGGTGCCTTTGGTGGCATGTAACATGCGTAGTCGCCAATAACGCCTCCCCAGGCAAAGGAGATGCCTGCAGCCATAGAGATCATGCTCAGCCATGGTTTGGCCCCTGTCGCGCGCGGTGGAGCTTGTTGGTGCAGCTGATCGCCGGCACAGCCGATAAGAATGAGGATGCCAAAAGATGCAGGGATCCAGGCGTAGCGGGCAAATCCGTGCAGGACTTTGTATCCCATGAATCCAATGCAGCAGCCAGCCACAAAAATAATAGCGATACCACCGTCAACTGAGAGTGTGCCTGGATTGACGGACGCGAGGGTCTGCCCACCAGTAACAGCGGCCGTGATTCCAAAGATTGCAATGCCGAGAAGGCTGACCAATGAGACTATCTGGTTGAAGTATTTGCTGGCAAAGTAAGTCATCATCAAACATAAACAAAGAGTCAATCAATCCGACGTGAGACTTACCCATAGACATAACGAAACTGACACCACTGCCTCATGCCAAGTAATGGTGCGAGCGTGAGAATATAACATGACGGGATGAGGAAAGCCAGCTGAAGAAAAATGATCATGGGTGCTGCTTGTTTGAGTGATAATCCGTACCCAGGAGTCGAGGCAGCCCCAATACCAATTCTATGCATAGCTTTAGTATCAACTGAAGTTTATAATTTCAGATAAGAGGCCTACTGACGGAAGAAGCCCAATAGAAGTGGTCGAGAAAAGCGTCAGAATGTTGGCATAGCGCTCGTCAGTCCTCAGCTCCCCCGGAACAGGTTCTAGGCCCCGACTCTCAACTCCAAGCCTGACAACAAACCCTTGCCAGAATGAGTTCACTGGCTCACTGGTACCGCGCACAGAAGAACGATCCGTTCCTGTATCCATACCTAGTTCGGGATCTACCTCCTTGGACATCTCCAGTTTTGAATGTGTCCCTTCGGGCTGCTTATCAGATCCCTGAGAAGGATGCTCGAACTCAGGGCTGGCTGCCATACTTCTCAACTGTGATTGAGCCTGATCGTCACAAGCGAAGAGACAAGGGGAATGGTTATAGTTGTAAAGATAATTGCGTTGGGCAAGGACTGGAAATCAAATGGGCGTCAGTTGGTCTTAATAGTTGTGACGAAAGTCTAAAGGTGTATTAGTTGGCTATGGCCCACGCACGTATAAGCAAAAGAATCAATACAAAAGGCGGCTATGGGCCTGATAGCCGAGACTGTTCGGGTATGGACATGCACACAACAATCGCAATAGTCTGGAATCGCGGAACTGCTCTTATCATCTCCCATGCCAACATAGACCTATGCCACAATAAGTCTCATTTTGCCTCCAAGCGTTATGTATCTTATCGCGTTAGTCATTATTACCCCGCTCCTTAGTACCGAGCTATTATTGGTGTGGCACTTTTAGCGTTGGCCTTCAGTAGGTGTGAACGTGACCTGACTGTGTTATCTAGGTGTGAGTCTACTGTCTTGCGGTGAAAGCTATTCTTCCGAATGAACCTTCGTATTGTGACTCTCAGAATGTCGCCTCACGCCCATTCCCGCCTTCACAATTTGCTCTGTGACTTTAATCTGTGACTTTGATTATTGGCTCTGCCATCACTATAGTCAAAGTTTTACATACATTGAATGAGTGTAATTTATAACGGAGAGGAAACTTCAGTCCAAAATAACGACAAAGATATACCATTCTAAAATTCCCCTGCCTTGAAAGAAACAGCAGTTTATTGTGACATGAGAGCTTCCAACCTCTGCACATGCGGGTACTGAAACAAAGCGCTTGACTCTGAAATAGCATCGAGATCATGGACCTCAAAACCCGCCCTGCGACTGAGGCTGACTGCCTCTTGTGCCCGGCTAATCATCTCTCTTTCAAAATCTTCAATTGCTTTTGCTGTGTCTTTTTCTCCCATACTCACCTTGTGGAGTTGGCAACCAAGCATATAGGCATCAAACATTCCATGGTTCGCAGCTTCACCGCGGTCTGTAAAGTTAGCTCGAGTCCGTCTATTGTAGAATTTTATACACCTACACATAGTCATGGGGTGTACTGCATCGCCTAGAATCGTTACCGATGCCGAAGGTCGCCAAGATTCTGTCATCCAGTCCTGGAGCACGATATCCAATACTTCAGTGTCATCTGGGATATTATCGAACCCCTCCCGAAGTTCCTTAAAGAATCCAGTGCCCTCCGTGGCCGCCTTTTTAAGTTCTTTGAGCTTCTCAGCGGGCGGCAGATTCAGAATATCTTGCGTAGCGTCTCCAGCATTCCAGCTCATGTTGAGCTGCGCCTCAAAGTACTCGTTTTCTGTGCCCTTGCTTCCATTTACTTCAGGGGTAGAGATAGTAGAGAAGAAGATAAACTTTCCGTTTGGGTGAGTGCCATGGAAGAATATACGACTCAAGTTTCGAAATGGGGCAATCTTCTCTGGTGCAAGTCGCATCTTTAGACCAACGAACCCTATAGGAAAGGTATAAAGCTTGGCCTTTTCTTCGCCTAGAATCTTTCTTTTGATATTGCTGTTCTTCCCATCAGCCCCTGCAAGAATGCTTCCCTTGACCGTTTTTCCGTCTGATAGAGAAACAAGGACGCCGTCATCGACCTCTTCCCATCCAGTAACAGATATGCCCCAGTTGATCTTGACTCCCTGAGCAAGTATCTCCCGCAACTTGAGGCGAGAAACACGCAGCTGAGGAGGCAGGACGTGAGTAGTCTTTGCTTTCCCGGTTTCTAGATCAAAATACTGGTATGGGATAGTATCTGAGATAATATCTGTCAACACATACTGAAGTTATATTCAAAATGCAAGTCTTACCCTCCTCTAGTGTCCTTGGGTCATTATGAAGGGCCTTAATAGCACAAAAGGCCTCTGGAGTAAGGCATTTCCGTAGAGCGGGAGTGACCCAGTTGATTGAAATGCCCCAGCCACCGTATCGCGCATCAGGGCTCTCATCACGCTCAAAAAGCAGGTATGGTATGCCGACTCTCTCAAGGTACTGTGCCAGGGTCAACCCGACAAGGCCACCTCCAGAAATAATGACTGGGTGTTTGAGTTGGTCTGACATTTTGAGGAAAAGTATTAGCTGGTAGTTGTAGGAGGGTGCTTGTAAAAGCTAAGGAATAAGAATGATTAAATATCTGTGAGATTGGAAGACTCTTATAGCAATAGTCTCAGCGCTTTTCTTTAGCTTGGATTTCTGGGCATGATGACAAAATTAAATCACGGTTGTTAATTTGCGGGTTGCTGCGAGTCCATCTTAAACCTTGCTACATTCTGTTAACACTATTATTCCTGGCCAGATCTGGAATAGCAGTATTTCATACCTATCGGGCCTCGGCATTTCCACAAACACTATAACTACAAGAGGCTAGTGTTTCTTTTTGATTGTATTAATGTATCTTAGCTCACTTGGTGGGTTTTCCCCGAGCGCTATTAGCTTCTGTAATGATAAGGTGGGTATTTTCCGAGGCAATAACTACTGCAGACTACCATTGAACAGCTGATTGAATTGGTGCTTAATTAAGGCCTTTTTGTATCTATCTAGCTAACCTTCTTCCCCCATGAAATCGACCAGGATGTTATAGTCTTCACCCGGGCTTTTCATCGTAACAATTTGCTCATCCTGAAGAACATCTTCCAGCATGAGATAGGTCATATCCTCGGCCTTCGACATGAATTCGCTATCGAAGACGATGCAGCCAAGGACCTTTTACCTGAAGGACAGGGCGCTGTCTTATTGGGGGAGAAGAATTACTTTTCTATCATGAGCTATAACCTCCCCCCAAAGTTTCAAGACAGCGACGGAAATCAGACTCTTGGATTCTACAACTTAGCGAATGGACACATGATTAGTGGCAGTCCTGTGACTGACTTCCAGCCACAGATTCGTCGCACCAATAGGTAGAGTTATATAGATTCTAATGCTAAAGCGTTAAATAAGGGGAAGAAGGAGGAGGAAGGCAGAGTGGCTACTGCTTAGTGGCCCCAGATGATACAGTATTATAGCTGAAACGAAATGCAAACATTGTTGTCACATGGGATCTAAGTACCGTAAATCTCAGTCAATTGGTTGCATTAGCCAGGGTGGCCAAGAATATCTAGATTGGGCAATCTGCCATCTAAGCGAATGGCGCAAATATGTCAATTATTCATTGGTGCTGATCCAATGCTTCGCAATAGGTTGAGCCAATAGCTGTCGCGAAAATAGATTCATAGTTGGTGGTAGTCTTATCAACAATGCGGCTAATTGACGAAACTTGTACGGTATTTGTACTAACAGATCAACATAAATGGTGCCCGCTCATGGATCGAACTCCTTTACGAGCGTTTGAATCTCTTTTCCAATTTCTTCATCTAGACCAGTATTTATACATAAACGCAACAGAACAAGCTTGTAGCTTATTGATCAAGTCGTGGCATTAGTCACGGCAAGTCTGGTAATCTCTCTCGTTACGAGCCTACAAGCTTTCTCCAAAGTTGCTCTACAACTATTCATTCCAGCCACGGCACTTGCCTGTATTTCCTATGGCCCGGCTGGCCTGTCGCAACAGATGCGTCGCTTAGTCGTCAAGCCTCAAATCTTGATCCATGTGCTTCATGGACTTCGGGCTCTGGGCATCGCGAGGGTTTTTAATAGAGGTCTGACCCGCAAACAAAATGACTGTTTAGTTCAATGATGCACAAATATGGTTCAGGTCCAGCCCAGATTGAGTATAATACAAATACGTAGGTGACGCGTCATGGTCGAGTCGGCTTAGCCAAGGGGGAAAGACGAACTAAGATAATAGAGTATAAGCTAGACTTTTATGAACCAGGGTCTCGTATTGTGAGCCAATCGGTATCTGCGGAGGCTGAAAAAGACCCATGCACTCGGGCTTCCGGGACTTTCGTGTAGGGTGACATAAAATACTGCAACATGAAACACCTTGTAGTTAATAGTCCTATCTGATTATTCAATGCTCCAATTCTCTACCTATTGGGACAATAGCTGGTGTGCAAGTTGCGTGGATCGTGTTGCTGAAGAATCGGGCTCCAAGACATCCCGCAGTCGGCGAGCGGCCTTCGGTTTCATAAGTCGATTTCAGAGTAGCCAATTAACAGTTAGTCGGTACGGTATGGTTATGTTCGGGATCTATGAAGAGACCGCCTTGCTCGCGTCACTAAGTCAATTGAAGTCATTAAGAAAGTATCAATATTCTATAGAATATGTGTTAGTCAGATCAACATATAAAATACATACTGCTGCCTTGTCACAAACGTATTAACTTAACCATCTTTCGCAATCAAAAACACACACCGAATCAGTTCAAGTTAACACCGAACCTCACTTTTTCTACCACCAAGACATACATCCACAATGGTAAACTATTATCGATATGACCCATCTCTACCTGCAAACATTATTTTTATTATTGTCTTTGCCATTTCGTCGGTCATCCATCTCCTCCAGATCTTGAAGACAAGGACATGGTTCTTCATACCATTTCTAATTGGCTCGCTCTGTACGTCTACGTTAGATCAAGCAATCTTATTAACCAACTGATAAACTGTAGTTGAAACCATCGGCTTCATTGGCCGTGCCATTAACGCTGACGAGGCACCGGATTACACTTTTGGCCCATACGTCATGCAGAGCCTGCTCCTCCTTCTAGGTCCGACTTGCTACGCTGCCTCGATTTATATGATCCTGGGCCGCTTGATGCAGCTGCTGAACGGACAGAAGTATTCCCTGATCAGACCTAATTGGTTAACCAAGATCTTTCTTCTTGGAGATGCAATGTCCATTGCGCTACAAGGAATCGGTGCGTTTGGGCCACTTTAAATTGTATTTCACCACGAACACAGTAAACTGATCTTGTAAAGGTGGCGGGAAGCTTGTCAATGCCGATACTGAAGGAGAGAGAACAACAGGACAGAACATCATCATCGCAGGCTTGACGGTGCAGATTTTATTCTTCGGTCTGTTCATCATTGTGACCGGCCTATTCCACTGCCGATTTCTCAAAGACTCCTCAGCTCAAACGTCTGGCTTTCGAACTAACTGGCAAAAGTCATTGGTGATGATCTATGTGGCGAGCATCCTGATCCTGATCCGCTCTCTCTTCCGCATGATCGAGTATATTGAGGGGCACGATGGGGAGCTGCAATCTAAGGAAGTCTACGTTCTCCTGTTAGATGGTTTCCCGATGGCCATCGCAAGCGTCATGTTCAATGTGCTCCACCCCTCGAATTTCTTAAATATACGAATCAAGAGCCTCGCTGATTCTGAAACCGAGACTCCTCTGGGCGTATGGCAAGATCGATCTGTGGAAAGTGTTATGGAGAGAGGGCCAGGGGCGTCAAACAACAGATAGGTTGCTGGGAAAATGGCCCTGTGATTCCAGATGCTCTGAGAAGCAAGGGCATCATGCTTCTGAACCCTGTCACTGCACAGCCGCCGAGTTATGATGCATAAATAGAGTTTAAATCCAGGTGGGGGGACGGGGGAGCTTGGACGCTCCGCCACAGTAAGGGATTATATTAATCAAAGCACCGTCAGTAATTAACTTAAAAACCTTTATTCTTTTTTTCATTGCAGCAGAAATCCAAATAACGAAATTACCTGTTTTAGTGCTTACACTTGTTATTATCAACTACCCCGACAGTCCTTCTATACTCAACTTGACCAACTGAGATAACAATGACCGATCTCGACCCTGCACCTGGAGCATTGACAAAGTCAGCTCCATTGCGTCGGGCACACCGCAAGTCAAGGACGGGCTGTAAAGCATGCAAGAGAAGTCGCATCAAGGTAAATATTTTTCACAACACTATCCACGTCATGAGCTGATCCATTCCAGTGTGACGAGACGCGCCCGGTCTGTAAAAACTGCCATAGACGAGACGCGTTTTGCGAGTATTTTGCCACGTCTCGATCAAGTGGTAGACCCGGAAGCAACGTGGAAATTATCCCAAAACAGAGTCAATCGCCCTCGGAGACGACGCCCGTTGCACATGCTTGGCTGACAAGTCAGACAAGCCGCAGTTTGTCGCTCAGTGAGATATTCACAGCGCGAACTTCATTGCTGTCAGAGCGTCTGTTTGAGCTTCAATTATTGCATCACTTCGTTGACATGACCGACAAGGCAACCAAGGCTCAAGCTACCTGGTCATTCTGGATCCTAGAGCAAGCCACTCAGTCAATCAGCGTTATGGATGCAATTCTAGGTACCTCTGCATCTCACCTTCAGCACGTCGGCAAGTTCAAGACAAAGCTTTTGTTGATCTCGCACAGATATATGGCTCGTGCCATAGAAATTCATAAGAAGGATCTAGAGGAAGGGCTAAATAAGTCTAATATTTCCAGAGTCATTGCAACTTGTGCACTTATCTGCATGCATGCCAACCTGAGAGCATACTCTGTTGAGAGCCATAGCAGCCAACGGCAGCCGCACGACTGGTTTACCTCATCGCGTAGGGCTTTAAACCTTTTTCAGAGGGTTTCCACGATGATTGAGAATCCCTCTATTGGACAAGAGTTCTCAACTCTCTCATCCATCATTCCCCACGAGATCAACCCGAACCCTTTAAGCTTTTTACTCTATTGGAACCCTCTACCAGCGTTACCAAACCAAGAAGAGATTAATATTTGCGTGCCAGCAGTAGCCAGTCTCTCTTATATCTATAACGAACTAGATAGAGAAAAGCCTCTGCGATTTCCCATTGCTGTTTCGGACAGCTTTGTAAACCTCGTCGCGGCAAAGAATCCTCGGGCTTTGGCCATATGTGGTTATTTCTTTATGGTAGTAAAGCTGGGGCGACAAATCTGGTGGATTGATGGTGCACCGGAACGCGAGTTTGATCTGGTTATGAGGTGTTTGCCAAGAGACTGGTGGTTACTTATGGACTGGGCCATTCGAGTTTTTGAGTGGAAGGATAGGGCTTTAGTACAATAGGCATTTAGAATGTAATCAAATATCTTACTGTTTTTCCCCCCCTGCCGTCAGCATTATATAAGGCCATCGAGCTTTTAGCGTCCAATTTAAAGGCTTATATAAAACATCTTACTGTATTGTATCTCTGGGTTAGTCTCTATGTTTAATAGAGTCCTTCATATCTATAAGCTTTACGGAGCTAGGCAGTCTTTGCCTCTCCTACTTTGTTCACATTCAACTTCATCGTCTCCCAAAAGTTCCTATAGCGCTCCACAGCACTGCATCCATCTTCCTTACCAACTCCTTCTAGCCATTCCTCATTGATTTCAGAGAACAAGTGACAGTCTGCCTCGGCCCCACCCTTCAATAGTACCTCGACAATATCCCAATATCCTTTGACGGCAGCCGCATTTAATGGGCTCCCGTATTTTCCGCCGCGAAGGTTAACATCTGCACCCTTCTCAAGCAGCAACTCAGCACCTTTCGTCTTGCCAGTGTACGCTGCTGCCTGTAAAGCTGTGCCAAACAGTCCGCCTGTCTGATTGACATTGATGTCAGGGCAGTCATTGAGTAAGAACACGAGGCCGTCGGTGTTCAGGTAGGTTAGATTATTTGTAGGTGCTAGACATGCCGATTGCAATGGGAACCCATAGAGGCCAGCTCCGAGATTGACATCTGCACCATTTTCGAGGAGAAACCGGATCTTATCCTCAATTTCATCTTCTATATACTCAAATACAGCCTATAAAGCAGTCCCATACCAACTATAGCAGTAATTTATATTAACGCTATTATTAAGCAGCAGCTTTAATATATTATAGTCTTAATAATAGTCCTAAATAGGTATTATAGCTATAGCATACTAAGCACTCCTAAAATACCTATTTTAAATATAAATATTAGCGCTATAGTCTATTAATAGGTATAACAGATTATAATACTATATCTAGTATCTACTTATATATACCACCTAAAGTGCAATTCTATACTGCCTTCCCTTAATATTAACCTTAGCACTATAATAAAGTAGCAAGCAGATTAATTCTATCTTACCTTATATATAAGCGCTTTAAAGTGCAGTGCTATATATCCCTCCTTACTTATTAACTTCTATACCTCTCTTAAGTAATATTTCTTCTAGACCTTTAGTATTAGATATCAGGCAGCCTAGGCCCTCTAAGTAAGCTACAGCTTATAGCATGCTTCTAAATTTACTACTAGCTGCATTAATATCAGCACTACTATTAAGGAGAAACTAGATCTTATCCTTAATTTTATCTTCTATATACTTAAGTGCAGCCTATAAAGCAGTCCTATATTAACTATAGCAGTAATTTATATTAATGCTATTATTAAGCAGCAGCTTTAATATATTATAGTCTTAATAATAGTTTTAAATAGATATTATAGCTATAGTATATTAGGTATTCCTAAAATACCTATTTTAAATATAGATATTAGCGCTATAGTCTATTAGTAGGTATAATAGATTATAGCGCTATACCTAATATCTACTTATATATACTGCCTAAAGCGTAATTCTATACTGCCCTTCCTTAATATTAACCTTAGTACTGTAATAAAGTAGTAAGCAGACTGATTCTATCTTACCTTATATATAAGCGCTTTAGAGTGCAGTGCTATATATCCCTCCCTGCTTATTGACTTTTATACCTCTCTTAAGTAGTATTTCTTTTAGACCCTTAGCGTTAAATATCAGGCGGCCTAGGCCCTCTAAGTAAGCTGCGGCTTATAGCACGCTTCCGAATTTACCACCGGCTGCATTAATATCAGCGCCACTATCAAGCAACTTTTGTACAATACGTCTAGTGGCATTAGAGCTGTAATCAGTATATACAGAAGTGGCTGCTTGCAAGACACTGCCATACTCCCCGCCGTGTATATGCACGTCAGCACCTCTACTGAGCAGTATGTTGACCGATTCCGGGCTCTGTTTTGCACAGGCTGCGTGTAATGCTGTTCCATAACAACCTCCTTCCCGATTAATTTCCGCGCCTTTGTCGAGAAGAAGATCAATTACACCAGAGTGATGCTGGGTTTGATAACATGCTTTTTGAAGTGCGTTACCGTACTCCCCTCCCTGAGTATTTGGGTTGGCCCCAAGACGTAGGAGGGCCAGGACCGCTTCTTTGCTCTGAGAATCATTAACGGACGCTCCAACCTGGTCACATGCCGTTTGGAGCGGGGTGCCATATCGCCCATCGTTCAACTCAATGTCAGCGTTGTGCCTCACGACAAAGTCGAAAAATGCACGGGTTCCCTCGCGTAGCCACACCTTGATCGCCTCATTTAGAGCGCTCCCGTGCCGTGTACACTTTCTGTTGATATCAACACCCTTTTCGAGAAGAAGCTTTAGAACTTGGGTCCGCTCCGTGATATCATTTTGGCCATTTGTCTTATGAGCCGCTATGAGACACGACACAGGACATCCTGCCTTGCGCACATCAGCCCTACGATCCAAGAGCCTTCGCAGGGCTGTCAGGTTGACGCCCTTTGCCGCGGCCTCCAGAGCTGACCCGAATCTGTCGTCGTGGGCATTGATATCAGCCCCATTGTCAAGCAAAAGATTTACGATTGCTAGGTGGCCTCGATACGCCGCGGCCTGTAGCGCGCCACCGACGTTATTATTGTTATTAGCACGTTCATTGAGAAGAAACCGGACAATCTCAATGTGTCCCTCCTCTGCTGCCTCTCGGAGAGTTAAGTCGAGATCCTCCTGAATCAAGAATTTCCTGGTCCGTGAATCTTTGTGAAGAAGCAATTTAGTGAGCTCAAGGGACCCAATGGCAGCGGTATAGCAGTACGGACGTTGCATCAAATTGTCGATTCGGTCATCATTTGGATACCACCGATCCCTCAATTGTCCATAGAGCAATATCTCCCGAAGGCTTTTAGTACGCATAGAGAGCGCGAGTTCAGTGAGCTGGATAATCTCAGTGGTCCATAGTTCGCGGGGGGCTGATTCTAAATGCAATTCCCAGTTTCGGGTTGCATAGGTCTTCAAGGGGAGTTTCACGTTAGCTCCTGTGTTCTCAACACTTTGGTATAAGTGATATGACAGACAGCAATGTGCGATATGCAGGTGAGCATTTGCTTCCGTAAAATAGAATTTTTGAGCTTTGTTTTGTTCAATGCGCTCGGATACTAGATACTCCTTGAGTGTGAAGTGAGCGAGGCGGACATATGTGATGTTTTCGTAAAGGTAGGTCTCATCATTCCTTCCATACTTTGTCTCGGTCGTAACGAGACTAGGGAAATATTTCAGAACCGCTCGCGGGTCAAATAGCCGCTCAGACTCATCGATCTTGGTGACAGTTTCAGGACGGAAAATGAAGATTTCGGCAAATTCGTTGAGGCGTAGAGGCCGTCTCGATAACGCCAACCATTTAAGCGAACCCAGGACCTGCCGTTTCAACTTCCTGTTGAGACCTAGAAGTAGCCTGTTATACGTTTCATCTAGTCCCGTCGGTAGATCATCAAGTGCTGAGAGGACAGATGCCTCCGAGTCTAAATTTTGAAGTACTTCGAACTGGCAAACAAGATATTGGAACCTGAAACAGATGTTAGTTTGGTCTGGTCTATGCCACTCTCATGACTTACATTCCATCTGCTCTCGTGATCATTATATCCTTCGCTTTAGCCATCACGTCGTCCGACCACCAACAGTACATCTCGGTACCCAGTACGCTATCGATGTACAGACGCATGTCCCTATCCAAACCCACTTGATTTTCTGTGAGATCAATGGCAGTTTTTGACCGGGCATCCAACAACTTGTCAATTGCCATATGAATATCTGGCTCGGCTCGACTTGTGCAAAAGATGTGGAGATTATCCGACATCGAGGCGATGATGCGGCGAAGGCAGTTCAAAAGCTTTGGCCGCTCGCCATCCAGGACTGGGCACTCATCGAGAGCGTCTACAACAATGAAGACCGCGGAAAACCCACTGACAGCACAAATGAGTGCGGCCTCAAGGGTCTCTATGTCTGGCCGCTCGCCCTTTGCCATATACTCTTCAAACCGTTTGACCGGCTGTGGTGTGTCTGGACGACTTGCACATAACTGTCGCACAAGGGATGACAGCATAACAGACACTTTCTGTTGCTCTATGTTTCCAAAGCTGAAAAAGAAGTATGCCAGTGCGGTCTCAGGGTCTTGTTCGTACTGATCCTTTAGGTATTTGATAACGGATGAACTCAAAATTGATTTGCCAGAGCCGGCTGCGTGATTTTAGCAGATGACAAACATCGGATGATCGGCGCCTGTCATACCTTTTCCACTAAGCCATAAGACGGAATTTGGACATCTCTCCCAAGTCTTAAAATCGATGCTTTCTCGGATCAGCCAGTTGCAGGTGCCAATGCTATACTTTTCTCGAGCAGCCCTATATTGCGCTGAAGTGTCAACGGCACAAAGCCAATTTAGCATCTTTTCGCGATTCCCGTCTTTCTGAACCTCCTCGATCGTTTTCTTGAGCTCAGAAACATCGGTTCCAATCGTTCGCCACTGACTCATGGCTTGCTGATGCCGTGCCTCTGCCTTTTCCCATTCCTCATTGTACATCTTGTCTCGCCAACCTTGGCTCACCTTATCGAATTCAGTCTCCCGATACTTGATATTTCCAAGCAGCTCGTCCCAGCCATGATGCTTCACGGAATCTAAAGCCAAACGAGAGACAGATCTGTGGCTATAGTAGCCGTAGCAAACAATCTGAAACCTGAGTATCTCTTGGTACAGCATTTCCAATGCGCGTCGGTACTCAGCATGCGACTCTGGCAAAGCATCGCTGATCGCAGACTCGTAACGCCGTACATAGAGATCCTCCCACATAGAACCCCAAACTATGATGGATGCAATGTGCTCGAGGCCCTTGGCCAAAGATGAAGCTTGTTCTATGGGGTTCAAAAAGAGCTAGCCCGTCATCGAACAAGCATTAGTCTCCTGAGGCTGACATGCGATAAAGGTATTGACCTACCGGCAGCAACAGAGTTACACCACCCCAGGCAATAGATGCCGTAGGATTTGAGCTCAGGGCTTTAGAGACATAATCCTTACTCCAGTCGACAACAGCTAGGACCGACTTGACGACATCCTGGGCTTCCACCTCGAAATTCCGAAATCTTATCTTCAAAGTGTCTCGTTTGACATGGTCCATCTGATTCTGGACAACCTTGCTCATCCAGTCTTTTGTATTGGCGTCTGAGCTCATTCTGTCCGCGATGTCGGGCAAGTTGCGACGGATCTGATCCTCGAAGGTTTGGACGGGCGAATCTTCCTCATCTCGTAGGTTCTTGTATGCCACAGCCCACAAATGCCGGATAGAATTGCCACATTCTTTGGGGTCTAGCGGCTCCTCAACTGGAGCTTGTTGGGGCGCATTCGCGTCATCCAAGGCTGGAACAGGAGGTGATACTCCCGATGTCTCGATTGTAGCTAAGTAGCTAGATCGTGTGTCTATTGACACATTCAATTGCTGCTCTTCACTCGGCCCATGAGTGGTACTTTCTAGGACTTTATCTTCATTGCGATGGTGGAAAATCTTCTTCAACCTTTTCCGGATGGGCATGGTGTTGAGTCGATTCGGCAATAGTGTTGGGCACTGTCGGCGTTACTATTTTGAGCAGGCGAATATGTCGGAAGTATAACGACTAATGAAGTGATCCAGTTCAATGGCATCTAGATGAAATCGAGTGAAAATTGCTGGCCAGCTGACGACGAAGGAAGAGTGCGGGGAATTTGATTCAGGCGCCAGTACTTGTCTACCTGGAATGAGGCGCCCAATCATTGGTTGAGAAAGAGTCCAGGTTAGGAAGTATTGGCTGAAATTTACAGGCATATGCGTGGGAGGCCTCAAAATGTATGCAAGATGCAAATTATGCAGACTGCCAAGTTGCCTAATTTTGCATAATTTATGGCCATGGCTTTATATAGGTGCCTCTATCAACCTTACGAAGAGAGTCTCAATAAAGGACATGTCCAACAGTATTATAAATGTATTGGATATAAAGCAGGGCTTTGCTAATTATCTAACCCTGACATCTAATATAGGAGATAATGGATATTGCTAAAGACAGATATACCAAACGGAGGTCGGCATAGCTGAAAGGAATGTCCTTTCCTCAAACCATCCCCTCAATGCTTAACAAGCCTAAGAAGGCCCTAAGAGACCCGAAGGCTGGAGTATTCATATTTCACTACCGATTGAGACTGAAGTAATGTCGATACATACCTGTGAATAGCTAGGGTTCTTGGAATTGGAATAGTTTGCGGCGCTCCAGTTGGAGTATAGTGAGTAGGGAAGATTGATATAAAGATAATAAGAATTAACTGCCAAGAAGAACGCGGACGGCAGGATTTATGCACGATGAAGTTTCTATTTAACTCTACAATGGACAAGCTGCTCTATATGGCAAAAAGGCAAGACAAACAGAGGTATATACTCCAGATAACATCTATTGCCGGCGCCTTGGAGACAGGCCCAACCCAACAAGTCTAGAAGCTTTAAACGTATATCGAGCCCACTCATGCATTACTAAGCAAGTTTGATATCGTCAGCGTTTGCAGAGACAGTATAGTGTGCTAAACCTAATAGCAACACATTGTTGCAGATTAATTCATTATTTCCTCATCCATCAGCCTTATCGACCTGGAACTATGACCTATCTCTATCTAATTGCCCTTGTTCCCACTCCCCATGACCTCAATGTAACAAGGAGGGTAATTATCGGATGATGTGTACGAGTATTGACTTCTGTACTGTTCTCAAAACACAGCTCGAAGCCGTTCTGGCAAGCATCTCCCTTATCCTTCTGCTGGCGGCGAGGAACGGGTAGGTTTGCTGTCGTATCCCGGTATCACATGTATACTGTGCCACTCGTCTCGGTAACCTTAATTACGTGTGAAGAATCTTGTAGAGATATATATGTGACGGTTAATTGGGAACTCGAGGATAAGCCCTCCGTTATGTTCACGACGGCACATACCTTGGGGGTTAGTAGATATTTGAAACGATAGGCTTTTCTATGTGGAACGAAGATGGCCCTGGAAGGATCGCACGTGCTTGTGTAAAATGGTCGGGTTGACGATAGGAGAGAATGCCAGTACGAGCCACCGCAACTTCTTCCTTCAGTTCATTGAAGCCTTAGGCATGGCGTTTGCCCCAGAGGGATGGGCGGCGGGAGTTCCTAAAGCGGCATAGTGAGACGGCTGCCTAATTTATTAGAACTACCGCACTCTACAACCCCTCCTTACTTGCTATCCACCTCTTATTTTCAGATTAATTGTGAATCTATGGAGTAACATCTTTGGGAAGCCTAGCAGTAGTAACACCAGTCGCAAGCTCAACATGCCCGTCATTATCAGACCATCGGGCAACGCCCCAAGGCTCATAACAGCATGCGAGGTCAGAAAGATAGACCGCCGATGGCAATTTGATGACATGTGCCCCAAAGAAGAAGAAACGGTTAAATGCATCATTCAGTCGTTGTTCGACTCTGAAATAGACATTATTAGTGCTATTAATGGGTTTGTGTTAGGCGCGCTCAAAGCATACAGCAAACATCATCATCTCATTCTCCGACCAGACGATATTTGGTTGGCGATTCTGACGCAGCTGAGCTTCTTCATAAATCCGAATGCCGAAGCACTTCGAGAGGTTTTCGTTGCGCATGATAAGAAAAAATGCTTAACCGTCATATCGCCAGAGATGTTGAAGAAGCAGGATATGGGAGCAATGGCGAAAGTCCTCGCTGAAGGCATGGGTCAGAACATGAAAGACAAGAGCTTGCATAAATGGATCGTACCGGACTTTACAACCACTACGGACACGGACGTTGTGGCTGCATCTGTTGTCATGGCGGGTGCTTTTCGTTCTTATTTTAACTATCGCTTCAGTTACTACTGCGGCATGCCCTCGATAACACTTCTGGGAACGAAAGAAGATTGGTCCAACCTTAGGACACGCCTAGATGGGCTTGCCATGCTTACAAACGGCTTGCCACCGGACAGTCAGCCGTCAGAAGAGCTAAATCATTTTCAACAACTCTTGGTCCCAGTTCTCAGCCGCATGGCTCAAACATTCGATGATCCCACGGATCCAGAAATTGTCGACTTCTGGTCCCGTATGGTCCATGAGTCTGGCGGCAGTGGGGTGCATTACATATCTGGTTGGCTGACAGCCTTTTGCTTCTGGTCTTCAAAAGGCGATGCGCTCTACTATGAACCCCAGGAAGCAGTCGACATAAGTTCATCAGACAAGACTCGACCGGGCTGCGTCCTAGATAGTGCCCGATACCACCGAACTGATACAGATGTTATCCCAATAGGATGGGCCAGTGCGCCCATTGACGTGGATGACAATGGCTTCGTGTACAAGGCGATGATGATTGCGGGTTCCATGGGTATGAAGGTCTCAAGTAGTGGCGAGAAGCTGGACCGAACTGGCAGATATTGCGATACCATTAGCGCCGACTCTGATGGGAGGCATGTAGTCACGGAGAAAGGCGAGATCTCGAAAGTCACTTTTAAACGCACGGATGAAGATGACTTGGAGACAGGCCCTGATACGCTTCAGCCAGTGATTGGGTGGTGGATATATGAGATAGCAACGCAGAACAGCGAGAGTGATGAATATTGGCAGGCGGAAAAGGAGGAAGACTGGATACCAACAGGGCTGGTGGCTTTGCTCAGTAATACTTGACTTGCTATCCATAAAATAAGATATTTCTCTTTTTTCGTTTAATTATAAAAATTCAAAAATAAAGCTGCTCTTATAGTAAGAGTCACGCAAATCTTGATATAGGTTAGGTTATTATGTTAAGTAAATTGAGTTACTAAAATGCCCCTACTAATACGCGTTTTTCTACTGCTGTTGTGGGCTAGTCTAATTTGTGATGAAGTCAATTTGTCAGCGCTCTACTCCGTATGGATAAGACTAACTCTAGTAACTCCGCATATAAACTCTAATCGCCGTATTTATACGGCGCCCGGGCCGCATGTGCCGCCAGCGTCTCTTCTTGCAACCCAACACGGAGGCATGGTAAATATGATTAGAAAGCGGAGAGGTCACAGAAAGTCCCGAGAGGGTTGTGTTCAATGCAAGGAGAAACACGCCAAGGTGAATATCTTCCCAGTACCAAAAGCAGAGAACCCGCAGCTAACCTTTCTAGTGCGACGAGGTGCATCCGCGATGCCTCCAGTGCGAACGGACCAACCTCGTGTGCAGTTTCTCATCCCCCACGCTGACCAAGCCACCACTGAACGAAGACAGCTTAGCTGATCTGGAATTACTGGAGCACTGGCATCGATATCCTGTGACAGGCGACATGACGGAAACCACAAGGCAGCTGCAACATGACCTTGTTCGCTTGGGCTTCTCTCACCACTACTTACTGAATAGCATCCTGGGTCTGACTGCCCTTCAGCTCTACAGTGAAGATCGCTCTAAGTCCAAATGGTACGCCAGAGCTGTTGCGCACCAACAAGCTGCAATTACCCGAGCTAGGCCGCATTTTGAATCCTTGACTCAGGCGCATGGACAAGCTCTGCTGGGATTTTCTGCTTTCACGTCAATGTATGCCGTAGCGGAACCAATCTATCGCCCAAGTGGCATCTGCTCCGAATCGCCATTCGATCCGGTTGAGGAGCTGCTGAAAGCACTTCGCTTCAGTAGGTCTACAATTATGTTTGTGCAGCAGAGCTTCCCCCCTGCTGTCATCTCAGGATCATGGCTACTCACCAAGTTCTCTACCAATTACGAAGACACTGAGAATAATCTCGAAACACGATATCCACAGCTTGCATTTCTACAGAGATGCATAACTAGTCACGTTCAAGGGGTTCAAATGAGAGCATGCCTCCAGGCCGTGAGAGCACTCTTCCGCCGTATTGCAACGCTTTCGGACAACGTCGGCGACCCTGAGCCTGCAAAGACAGTTTGGGGTTGGGGACTTGAGGTAAGCCAGATCTTCCTAGATCTGTGCTCAGTTCGTCACCCCGCAGCACTTGTTATCTTAGGCCACTTTGCTGTTTTGATGAGTTACAACAAGCATTGGTGTCTGAGTCCATGGCCAGCTGGTTTGCTGAGCTACATTAATGGGGTTCTTGGAAGTGAGTGGGAACATATTATGAAATGGCCGGGATCTGTTGTCTTTGGGGGAAATCTTGCTATTAATCGTCTTACTGTATGAGAACATTGTTTCCTTTGATAGAATGAGGTAGTTAGAATAAATTAATCCAGCCCAATTCAACACCGCAGCGAGTTTAGCCCAGCACCTAATGTCATGCAGAGACTAACTAGAGTTTCATCAGCGCCGCTGCCCCATGGATTGCCCCCCACATACGCGGTGATCTGACCTAACGGAAGCCCATTCTAGCCTGACCGCGCTACCGTATTAATACGGACAGTGATCCACTATCTGCAGCCAACCACAAACGTAGGTTTTCTCAGTCACTCAGTACCAGTATTTACCTCGAGTTGTATTTTTCCCGAGAAAGCCATTATGGAAATGCTTGGTATCCTGGCAATGAGATGTTAATTGGTCAGCAGCATCGTCCATGTGGCATAAT